AAGTCTAACTTTATTTTGGGCGTAATGTTGGATTATATGTTCCATGACAGCTGTTTCTTGAAATGCATTCTGTCCCAGCGTATGTGAGCATTTTAATTTAATCTTCCAGATATTTTCCTGAAACGTGTAAATTGGATCTGCCAGTCATGCCTTCCAAATATTGAACTCCCCTGTTTTTGATGTTTTATGGTTTGTTTTTAGAAATATAACAGTCCTTTACCAAAGGAGAAAGATACTTTTAAAAAAAAGAATGATGGACTCACCCATTCACCTCTCAGATTTCTGTCAAAATAAATGACTCTATATGACATGATATGAGACATATCTTAAGGAGAACATTGTTTGACATGTGCTTAGATTGGAGGCAAGGGGATTTAGGATGAACTGAGTAGGCTTTTTTCCTTTCAGGAGTGCTTATCATCCTTACCTGAATTGTCTGTGGGTTTAGAGTTGCCCAGGATTTGCAGTTCTTTGAGCACATGATATTTTTACATATATGTAAAAATACGCTGAGAGAGGGAACGGAAACCAAGAATCCTCCTCTATTGGAGGACCTGCAGGAGACCAGTTCACCTAAGAAAAGAATAATGGTAATGTAGATCTCTCTCCCTGGCAGCTGGAGCTCTGGAGGCTTGCAGAGTATCCACTGTAATCTACTCTTCCAAAACCAGGGACAGGAGTATCATCATAGGCCCCTTTTTATGGAGGGACAGTGGAAGTAACACTATGTATAGGCTATTTACAAGCTTGTGTAGGAAAGAAATATATATTAATCATTACTCTACATTTTGTTGTAACGTGCACTCCTAGCACTAATCAAGTAGTGATTTCCTCCTGATTATTTACACAGCAGTGAAAGGTTTCACAGTAGAGTGCATGCTTGTGCATGCACGCGCACACACACGTGCACACAGGCATGTGGAAAAATGACAGTTCTGAGATCCAGAGTTGGGTCATTTTGCAAATGTTCCTGCTGTATTGATCTATGGTTGCGTTTTGTTGCTTGGTGGACTGATAGGCAGCATGTGTGATTCGCTAAGATTTTACTAAGGTTATTAGTAAAATATCTACCTTTTCGTGTGTGTTGTGGAGGGTGGTTGTAGCAAACTAGCATGCAAAGAAATTCATGAAACAATGGGAAAGGGGCAAATCAGTGAGTATAAGGTGAAATTTTTCAATGTCTAGATAAAGGCATTTGTCGCATTGGTAGAACTGGCAAAGTGGTACTCATGGCCTCTGCCGCATTTGTCAAGCGAAGCATAAAGATAACTGTGCACTTCAGTGAACCATGATAAACCATTACCAGCTTGAATTTGTTCTCTGTTGACTGAACTCCACAAAACTACTATATGGATCTAACATATATTTATTTACCGTTTCACTTGCAGTCTTTGCTGAATTACAGCATTTTGATTGCTCAGAAAATAACAGAAAGTGTTGAGATTATGTTTTAGCCTGTACACACAGACACACGCATATACACGCATATACACACTTTGGAAATGTGAAGATAGGTTTGAGCTTTATTTCAGCCTTTTCTTTCTTCTATATGTAGAAATAACATCAATAATCAGAGTGGGTTGATTTTAATTAAAATCAAATTAATGAAATGAATTAAAAAGAGCAATTTAAATGTGTGTTATATCAACAAGCAAGTAACAGTGTAAGTAATGGATTTTAATCTTGTTTGAATTTGTACTTTTTAGTAGCTTTCTTAAAGAAAAGTTGATTTTTGCCAGTTTATGACATGGGAAAATTTGTTGATTTCCAATTAAATACATACTTTCAGATGATAGTTTGGTACCTGTATGTGCAAATCTGGGAGATATGCTTTACTGTATGTGAATTAACTTAATATGTTTACTGTGATCTGAATTTTCTAGGTCTGTGCACATGAAAACTATTACGTATTTATTTCTCTTCTTAGGCAGTGATTATCTTAAGATTTATTCATCCTCTGTTTTGGATAGAAATTTAAAATTAAATAAAAAATACAAAATCAATATTTTAATTTAGCTCTGCTTGTGAAATTAAAGGCTTGGTCTCTATAAGAAAAAAAATTAGCAATGCATGTTTTGAAGCAAACTGCCTTAAGTAGAGGGAGTATTATCTATCATTCAGTGAATCGGAAAATAACTGTTTCTGTCAATATGGTCTTTTAGATGTGAGAGGATGATAGCTACTCATTCTATTTTTTCATCATTGGTTGAAAGAGGAAAATAATATTTCCTTATCCACTTTCAGTGATGACTTTGTTAAAATGAACTACACAAACCAAAATTAAGATACTATTCTCTCTGTAGCTACGGAAGAGAAAATTGCTGTCAAAAGCTGATTTTAATACTTTAACATATTCTGTTTTCAGATCTTCATCTGGTGACTAAATTCCATGAAACGTCTCAATTCAGTTAGCCTTCATAGCAAATATAAACATAATTTTAAAATTAATTTAAATTACATTAATGCTATATACTAAGCCTAGACCTTCACATTGGCTGCTGTCAATTAAAATGTAATACTGGATAGTTTTTGTAACTGTACTTTGGCTATTTGTTTAAAATAACATTTTATATGTCTTTTAGCTGCTCTCTCTGTTTTGAAAAGAACCTTTATAAAAGGACATTTCCTAAAATAGATTAACTATGTGTTACTTTGAGAGTTGAATTTGAACTACAAAATTGTATAAATGGGTGTGTTAAAGTAACGTGCATTTATTCAAATCAAAACTTTGGGACAGATTAGAATTTGTGAGAGAGATTAGACTGACCACTGTTATGTGATTGCTAAGGAGGCTTCTAAAGTTTGTTTTATCCTCTTTAGTGCTGATGAGAAAACTGAGAGTATCAAGCTCCTTTGCTGAATTTGATCTGTTGATTTTTTTTTTTTTTTTTCTCAGCTATTCACAAGCACTTTCTTCAGCTCTGTTTTACCAAGCGCATGGCTAAGTTAACTTGACACCTAGCTGTCTCCCAGAGGTGGCCTCTCCTTTGTTTTCCTTTCTATTAGTTGAAGGAGATAAACTTGCCAAAACAAACTGAAAAGCAGTAATCCTACAAAAAAGTTTGCTGTGAAATGGAATGATAGGTAGTGCTGGTGGAAACAGTAAAGCACAAGCACTGCCTGTTCCAATGATCATCAGCTGTTACAATGCTTATCTGTGTCAGAAAACACAGGCCTCCCTAGGTGTAAACCTCACTGATTAGTTAGTAAATCATAATAATGTGTTCTGAGGTGTCAGGTGTTGAAGAGTTGGAGAGACACAATGTAAACATCGCAAAGAAATAGATTAATTCACTGTTGTTGCCAAGATGTTTGGGGGTAATTAGAACTTACTAGGTCTGCTACTTAAACGGAGGGGAATTTAATAGGGAACAACAAACTTTGTAGAGGCAGGATTCTCATTTACTTCCTTGAAGGGCGTATGCAAACATGAATGATCAAGACAAAAGAGTATCACTCTGTTCCCACCCTCTTTTTTCGTGGGCCTTTTAAAATAAAATCTACAAAGGTGAAATAAGAAACTGGTTTAAGGGTTGAAGCAGAGGTTAACTTTCATGTGATTAGACTGAGGCAACCCACCGTTCTGTCTAGCCTTAACATAAGATTACTTTGCTCTGTAGCAAGAAACAAACAGAAACCTTTATTTATTTAAATAAGAGACTGATTGTGCAGAGAGAGACCTCTGTAGACTTTAATCTGTAAAATGATAGCTATGCATTCCCTGCAGGCAGAAGGAAACATCCACTGCAACACATATCTCCATTTTTCTAATGGCTCAGGTTTTTAAATGAGGAGATTCACGCTTACCAGCTTTCATGTGTGAGAAAAAGTACATGCATAAAGAAAATCCAATGCCTGCTACAGCTTACCTGTATATTTTAATATATGTGAGGAGGTTGCCTTTGTGATGAAAAGGGAGAGATGTGCATCTTGGTGAAGAACGTTGCTGGTAAAAGCTTCATTTATTCCCTCCTCCCCATCCCAGCTACTTGCCTGAAAATGGATCATACACAATGATGCATCATTACTTTTACCTCCTTGTATGACTCACCGAGCCATATATAGCAACTCTTCTTTTGAAAAGAATTCTTATTCAGAGCAAGTAGGATGTGAAAACAAGTATTAAAATATCAGACTGTTGCCTCACTATTGTATTAGGATTTCTTCAATGGCAGATAAAAATGTAGCATGTTTTGAACAGTAATGGCTTTTTGTATTAAGCAGGTACTGTCAGGTTAAAAATCCTCATTAGTTTTCTCCTGATTTTGTGTTCTTATTTTCATAACATTTATCTCTGGGCGATGAGAATGGTTTTGATTGCACTAGCAAATTCTTTGCTATTTCAGTGCTTGGATTGCTGGTAATGTAAAGTAGAAGGTGGCTTTTGGAGCATGGTCTTAGCTTTTGGGGTTTCAGCCTTTTAAAAAGCTCTCTGCCTTGAATTACCCAGTTATTCCCAGAATTAATTCTCTGCGCTAGCTTTTTATTCTCTTAGCATTGAGTTGTAAAAAAAACCCTGCTTGTGAAATCAAAAGATGGCTTATGAAGTTGAGCCCTTTTAAGATTCTTCTGTCCTCTTAGAAAGATTGGCTTTCTGTAATGCTAACAGCATCCTTCCCCCATATTTTAGTACCTCATTTAGTACCCTGAAATTTAGACTGTGCTTTTCTTGCCAAGAAAGTCTAGCCAAGGCTTTCTTCAGGACTTCAGTGACGGCTGCTGGGGCAGTGTCCCCTTCCTTATCCCCGGATGAACTCTTGCCTGAGAATTCAGAGGTCTGTTTTTCTGGTGCTTTTTAAGCCAAAGTCACTCTTGTTCCCTATCTCCTTCTGTAGTAAAGTACCGCATTGTTTGTTTAATGTTGCATCTATGTTGACTCGCTTTTACTTTAAAACTGCACTCAAGGTTTCTAAATATGCAGTTGGAGCTTTCTTGCTGTTTTGTGATACTGATAACATATTGAAAAGCAGTATTATTAAAATAAATATTCCTGCATTTTGTTCCAGGTTTTGGGATTTGAAGTTGATACAGTGAACTCTGTCCAGTTTTCAAACCACACAGGTAAAACATTTATGTATATCTTAAGACATCATTCCGCACTTACTCAGCTCTTCTCAACATGTGACTAACCTTATCACATGACAGTGGAAAGGAGCTTTGTTTTCTAGTTTTCACTCTCATTTTCTGGATGTAGGACAGAAGCGTAGTTTTCACATGTTGGTCCAAGTCTCACTGAAGTCAGTGTGTTTGGATGAGGACGTGACGTGACATGGTAATGTCCTATTCTGCTACTTCAGGATGTGAGTTTGTTTTGTTAGATTTTGTTAATCTAGGTGTCTCAGGGATGAATTAACACAAATCTGGCCATCTACACAGACAGTCCTGTGAGCAGGGGAGTCTCCAGGATTTTCTGCACGGTATGGCCCTGTGAAGCTCATAATCACGCTACCAACCCCAGATATCAGAAAATACTGAAATAGATGCAACCTCTCCTCTATATAGCCCACCCAGAAGGCTAACAGCTATTCTAAAATTATATCGGGGAGGGTGTAGTTTAAACAGCTGAAATTCTTTTTACTTGGATTCTGAGCCTGAGCATGATGTGCTTGCAACATGCTTTCAGAGTTCCTAACGCTCACAGTGCTAGAGAATTTTCTTCTTCAAATGAAAGTTTTTGAAATTTGTTTATTTTAATAATACCTTTCACCCATAAAGGAGTTCCAAGTGACTTAAATCAGTAGAGACACATCTACCATGCCAGAGTGGTGGCAGGTTGTTTTTGGGGAGATGAATTCTAAGTGTATCTTTAAAAAAAAAAAAAAAAAAAAAAATCCAGGAAAAAATCCTGACTTTAATATCTTGGAAAGGAGCAAAAATGGTTTCTGACAAAACAAAAAAAAATGACAAAAATTTGAGATATTTTTTGTGAAGCCACAAGTATAGTGCTGTTAATCAACTGCTAATTTTTGGAACTGAGAGCCCACCAGGAAGCCTCTTTCAAAAGGTTAAAGCATGTTCCTAGCATGGAGAGAGTTAACTGTCAGCAGGCTTTCATCCTGGGAAGAAGAAATGAATGTTTCAAGGGCAGCTAGAAAGCCAATAAAATCTGCTTATTGAAAGCACAGAAGCAATAATTAAACAAGGGGTACAGGTACTTCCTGTATCAGGCAAAAAAGCTGCTTATTCGGCTTGTAACCTTTTGGCGCAGTACAAAGGTGCTCTCATGTTTAAGATGTGTTTACACTTGATTTACATTTTTTTAATGCATTTAGCTTTGGAATTGAGGATTTTTTTGTTGTTTTTTTCTTTAGCTTTTGTTAACTGACTAAAACAGTTGTAATCTCCAGAAATTAAGCAATGTGTTCACCTAAAATAATTGACTAAGTGATCAAAATGGATAAGGGATTTTTCTTTTGTTGGTCTTTGGTTCCAAGAATAAATCAAATTTATAGGGCATTAGAAGAGCTAAATAAAGTTTTTATGAGACCGTGAACAATGTGTCCGAAGGCAGACAAATTTCATTATCAATAGAATGACTAGATTCTTGAAACAGAAAACAGGGATCTTTTTTTTTTAATGGTATCTCATCTGGAGAAAGTTTACCATAGCTTTGTGCAAGGCTTGACAGACAACGAAGATAGCAGAAGGAATAATAACCTGATTTTTTTTGTTTTTTCTAAAGTGGCCTAAATGGACATTCCAAAAATCATAAAAATGTCTCTAGGATCGCAAGACTTGAAAATAGTTGGACCTTTTGTCTAGTGGTGTTTCGGAATCACATTATCGTTTTTTTCTTTAATCTTGATCATCTTCAGTAAACATATTAAAAATGAAAGATTGTTGCACAATCTCATGATTTTGGGAAGCAGAGCTTTCAGAAAAATATCCGAATATTACAACTATTCCAGTAACTGTTTGGCACTTGGCAAAAGTACATAGAAGGAGGTTGTATTTAGACATGTTGGTTGTCTACCTGAAGGAAGAGGGAATGGAGAAGGAGGGAAGGAGCGTATTCCCTTTTATGAGAGCTAGTTTTTTGAACACTACAGTTTTCCCATTAAATCCTATCTACCCTTCCTTAAATTGATGGATAAATTTTAAGTGCAGTTGTCTTCACACCTCCTCCTTTGGCAGTAACATGTAGGAACACACATTACTGTCCTTGTATGGAGACTTTCCCAAAATTGGACGTTTATGCATGCCTTCACACAAACTTGCATTAGTATCTGCAAGTCAATGTATGCGCAGTCTGCGCTCTTAAGGAATTAATGAACAAGAACTGCAGTTTGGGGCTCTGACTTGACTGGAGCCGTACTATAATATACAAGAATCGTGTGCTGGATAAAACGAGGAAGATAACTGTTGTTGTTCCTACAAGAATGAGATCTTACCAGAAGTCATTCTGCTGCATGGCCCCGATCAAAGCTGAAGGGCAAACTTCTCTTTCAACGTCTAGCTGTGAACTCTAGTTTATGAAAAAATGCTACATGACAGAGGGGACAGGCAGCAAAGTGTGTCTGAGAGGTTTTGGACATGACGTTCGTTCTTTCCCCCTTCCCTTCTTTAAACTTGATCTTGTCAGCAAAAGATAAAATGCAAAGAGAATTTATGACTATCAGGCCTTCTTTAATTAATTTCTATTGCTTTTTTTTTTTTTTTTTTTTTTGCAAAAAGCAAAAAGAGCCCTGTCTCTAAATCAGTAAGACACCACTGGCCTATTTCTGCTGACTCCTGCTCAGAAAATTCAGCTTTAGTCGCTGATAATCCTGAAAATGTGTTTTAAATCAATCCCCCGTAGGAGAACATTTTGTCATGTTACTTGGAGAGGAGCTTTTACTCTATGATTAGAGTGACTCAGCCTTAAATGGCATCATGCTTCATGTACAAATAAAAGAAGCTGTCATATAACCTACAGAGATTCTGTGGATTTTCCTCTATTTTATTTTACTGTATTGTTTGCAAGAGCGTTGCACCTTCTGAGGTGCGCAAAATACAAATCTAGGTTTTGGAGTTTTTTGTTACAGTTTGTTTTTGGGGGGAGACATTTTGATTCTTCAGTGTATTTGAATTTTTGTTTTTAATTGCTAGATTAATTTATGGTAAGCACATGATGTGCTTACTTTGCCATCCAAATCGTATCTTTGAAACTATTCCAGAACAAATTGCTGTCATCTTTTCTTTTTTAAGCAAAGCATTTTGACTTCCGCTTAGTGGATGTGTAGTGGGTGGTTGGGTTGGCTGGTAGGTCTGGTATGTTAGAAATTATAATTATGCTTTGTTGACCTGATTCTTCACAGCCTACCACCCCTAGTCATTCCCACCTGTGCAGTTTGTGTGTGTGGGGGGGGACAAAATGAAAAAATCTCCGCTCATGTCTAACAGTGGTTACATTTTACTCTCACACTGCCCAGCTGTAAATCTTCCAGTTTCTTCCCAATGGAGAATTAGCTACTGTATTTCTGGGTTTCATTTAAGCCCTCCCGATAGCTGAGGGTTGAGAAATGTTGGCATAGAATTCTTTTAGACCAGGTTGTCTGCCAGCATTTGTATGTGAATTTCTTGGCACAGGCTGGGACCAGCTTGCTAATCGCATGCCTTAAACACAAGATCTTTCTTCCTTTCCCCCGTGCAAAAAACTTGGCTATTGAAGCCTCTCGGTACAGTTTTGCAGGGAGCACCATGGGAGAAACTCAGACCTCAGAACAGAATGTCTTAGGTTGAGAAACAAAGAAATCTTACGTGCCTTGCTATTTTAAGTAGTACTTTTATTTGCTTTTTTTCTTCTGATGTGCCTAGGATTTTTCCTTTTCTTTTTCAAAGTAATGCAGAAGCTTATAAATACATTCCAAAGGAAAAAAAAAAGGTACCAGAGGAGGAAGGTGAGAAAAAGTGTGTTTAAAAGCATCCTGGGTTTAGTACTGGCTTCCTCTTGTGGTATTTTTTTTTCCCTCTTAATACAGATAAAGCAAGACCTTACCTTGGACACTAATGAGTAGGTTAATCATTTTAGAGGGATGACAAGCAAGAAGCATCGTATCTTACAATTTTTTTCATTCCTTCAGCTGCTTAAAAACAAATATGTAAAACTTAATTGCAATAAGAGGCTAGAACCCAGATATGTAGAAGGAGTATACAGATGTTCTAATGCTTATGTTCATCTCTGTGTTTACGTCTTTTATCAATCTGGGAAACTAATGCTGTGAGTTTGAGCCAAATACAGTTCTGGAGAGCTGTATCCCGATCTGCCGTGTTCTCTCTGCTCTGTCCTGCACTGACCAAAATTATTTGGAGGTTTTGTAACCAAAGGTAGGAAGGGAAGACCCAGCTTTCTTCCTTTATGCAAGATACAATCCAAAATACAACCCAAGATAATGCCCAGGATAAAAGATTAATCAACTGATCCAGCTGCTATGCCTAACCGGCCAAGTCTCCAAGTGGGATGCAGTTGTTTTGTCGAGTACAAACTGCTTATCCTTAAGTTTTCTTGGCTGTGCTTTTCATATGTGTGCAAATAGTCAAGTACTGTGGGACTTCAAACTTTTGTACTGTTAAATGCTACAAGGAGAATATTATTACATAGTAGGCGTTATAGCAAGTGGCCGGTTAGACATAAGATTTTAAATTTTCTCTTGTAGTTCCCCAAATGTTCATGTGTAGTGATGCAGGAATAGGGATCGGGAAGGAAGCTGACTTTCCTTTGGGTCTTGCAAGGTGTACAGTGCAACTTTGGACCATCACTTCCCTTGGTTAGCTGAGAAAGACAGCAATTCCCCATAATCATCCTTAATTCCAACCATATTCTTGTTTTCCCAAAGCCAGCTGGACTTACCATGTTAAAGACTGCTGTTGGCGTTCCCTGCTAAGTACCTTTGGGTTCAGGACTATGCAGCGTTTTTTCCTGTCACAGTGTCCATCTGGATTTTTGCTAGACCTTACTCATGCCTTTCCCCTTTTGAAAGAGTCCCTCTTCCTGGAACTCCACGGCATCCATTCTTCAGTTAGTGAAACCCTTTTTAAACGTGAGCAACTGGCTTTGTCCTCTGTCCTTCTACAGAAGCTGCTTTTTTGGCTCCGAGTTCTAGCAGGAGAGTAGGATAAATCTAAGGTCACAGGTTTTGGCCCTTTTGTTCATTATATTACATGAAGTTATCCTGGTTTCCAACTCACTGCCAATTATGATTTTGTTTGTTTTCTTCCTTCAAACCCTTTTCAGCCCCTGGGGAAGTTACAGTTCTCTGCAGATCCAGTGAAGGCTTTGCCCTTTTTGTTCTGTTTCAGTATCTGAGCCTTCCCTCAGGGCTTCCAGAGGGCTATTTTTCTCCAGCTATTGTATAATTAGATTTTAGTTTGTATTACATTCGTTACCAGGTGGTAAAAAGGAGAAAAGGATCTTCTAGATACCCTTGGAAGCCATTCCTGTAGAGTTCACACGACCTCCCTGCCTACCTGGGCACTTTACCGATACCTAAGTGCAGCCAGGCTGCTACCTTACATTTTGTTTACATGTATATATTTCCCTCCCCTTCTAAAACTCAGTGGAGGATAAATATAGGGATGACTTCCAAGGGTATCTGGAGATCGTCTTGGCAATGTATTGTAGTTATTTTTGTGACCATGTTCACTATAAGATGAGTGACTGCTCTTTTGTTGGCTAACCTTGATTTTTGGGTGAAAACTGCACTGTCCTGTAATGTGCTCAGTGAGTTTACATGGGTGCTGAAACAGATTAAAGCTCATTGATGAGTTTCGGTAATGGACACAACGAAATGAAAAGAACTTGGTTGTGTCCCGCGATGGGCTGGCTCTGCAGAGCTGAGAGAAGTAGAGGTTTGGGGAAGAGGAGCGGGCAGATGATGTCTGTCTAAAGCTGGCAGATATGACAGAACAAATGGGTGCGTATGTGTTAAATAAGCGAAGTACATGAAGCAGTTGGAGTTACACTTGAAGTTAGATGTGTGCCTAGGTGTTAGGCATTGCCATTTTGAATATTGTCATGTTCTAAATGGAGCTACAGTCTTCAAAGGGGAATCCCTCTCCCTCATTTTGTCCATTTCTTCACAAAGACTTTCTAAAAAATACGTGCTAAAGAGAGAATCCTCGTGGCTGATGTGAGTCAGTCCCTTAGCCAGCTGGCACAGAGTAATGTTTTAGAGGCTAGGCCTTTGTGAGATGAGAACAAAACGATCTGTTCTCCCTACTGTGGGTATATTTGCATATATAAGAAGGAAAACTGAAAAATGTGCTTACCTCAGGCTCTAGGCATCTTTTTGCAATTACTCTAATAACATAGTTTAGAGTGCTAATCAAAGCCAACAGCTTTTATCACAGAATTTTCTAACTCCAAGTGAAGAAATTAAAACAAACAAACAAAATACCATTGTCTTCTCTCAGGAGTGATCTGGAAGAACATCTGTCATGTAACGTTTCACTTTTCGTAATCTCAGTTAATAAAAAGATGAAGTTTTAAACACAGTGTGAATTTCTGGAGAGTGGAAGAGTTAAATTGTGGGGGCCTCATGTAATTTTTTGGAGGAAACCCCATTCTTACGTAGAAGGGAGAGATAGCCGCTATCTGGATGCGCAGGCTTTGATGACGTGGTGCAAGATGCATTTACATTCTTCAATGAATGCTCAGAGGCTGTCAACAAAGTTTTGTTTTGTTTTGTTTTTTTCCAAGAATTGGCTGCCTTGGACCCTGGTCTGTTGTCTGCTGAAATGAGTTCAGCTTCTCCCAATAACTTCAGCTTTCATCCACTTCTCAGCCAAGAACTTGTACTTGTAGTTCTTAGAGATCATTTCAAGGATAACACTGTATGGATATTCTGTGTTTATAGTAAGAGTCCTCCTTACCCATTTGCCTCCTCCAGGATCCTCAGCATTACAAACGTGCTATTTTGGAAGACAGTCCATCTGATGAAGATGAGATGGTGATAAGAACGTTCCATGACAATGTTCTGCTGTGGTCACTCTATTTGTTACATGCAGGACACAGAGAAAGCTGTATCTGACGACGAGTACATCAGTGCAGCATACTTGTGTTCAGATAGGCTGACCCACAAGCCTGTTTTCTTCCAAGTGAGACCTAGCCTCTGAATTGCTGCATAGTGCAGCGCTTATGGTTGGTATTTAAGCCTGTCATCTGGTTGTCGATTTCTTGTTTACAGTGTAAAATAACAAAAATAGATATTCTGATACCCTCCCCCAGTGAAGACTAAAACATATGTCTGTCTCCCTCCTAGCAGTTTCTCCAGAAAAGGAATAATTGTAAAGGCTCCATGGGGAAACTTGCAAGAGTGACTGTGTGTGCTCAGCTTCATTTGCTAATAAATGGACAGTCTGAAATTCCAGAGTAGTTGTGCTAGTTCCTTTGGGAGACAGAGGTGCTAAGAAAAAGCTGAGCGTGTACCTGTCCTACTGACAGCAGCTTTCGTTCAGCAACATTATTTTAGAGGAGAGAAGGTAAAAATGCCTTCTGGTGCTAATGTCTCATGCTGTCTGTCCAAGTATATGATCTGTGTGATCCTGTGTGATCCTAAGCAGAGTATCTAGCTCTTGAAAAATGGTCTGGCTTTTATTTTGCAGGCTATGCCCACTGGAAGGGTCAGGTGTTAAAATCAGATGAACTTCATGAACTGTATGAAGGACTTAAGCTGAACAATGTCAACCAGTATGATTATGTACTCACAGGTAAGAACTTGTTCCTTTGGAGTTCCCATGAAATGCACACAAGAGTAAGGATATTTAAACCACATCCCTTGTTATTCCAAACCAAGCAATTGCATTTTCCCTTCTTAAGCCTCTCCAAGATTTTCAGTTGGATATTATAGTCTTAAGCACTTGTGCTGTATAGTTTGAAACAGCTGGTGTTTTCCAGCCTGAAGGTTGTAATTGGGTAGGTGAATTGATCCCTTTGTTTAGTTTGAAGACTTGTACAGGCCAGTGTTGTACAGGCTTAGTTAATGTATTGGGAGGGATGCTAATGAGAAAGGAAGAGGAATGTCAGAGTATTTTTAAACTTATGATGATGATATGGGTTAACCCCTCCTCTTGTAGTGCTAGTACTCCATGGTATAATAGAATACTTATATACACAATTGGCTATGCTTGTTTTTCATAGTTGATCCTTAAGAGGTAGTGCATTGAGTATGGTGCAAAGGGTGAGCAGGGTTGGATTCTGTCGTTCACTCTGTCATAATATTTCTTGATCTTTTGCTCTCGTCACTGTATAGGCCCTTTTTATCCTCTCCAAGTGAGTGTAGTTCTGCAGCACGTACAGACATACTTAGTACAACGTCTTCCTTTGCTTGCCACTAGGTGCAGAGTGCTACCTTGTACAGGTAAAAGGAGCTTCTCGAAGAACACTTTACAGAAAGGAGATGTTAAGTGTGCAGTTTCTATTACAGATTGCTTCTCAGTTACTATATTTCCTGCTTCTGCAGTGTAGATTGCTGATCGGGTTCTAACTCCGTGAGGGCTATGCCTCTAGGTTAGATTTCAGTGAACAGTCACTTTTAGGAAGGCAAACAGAATTAATTGCCAGATTTAATTGCTTTCACAGCTTCCACGTGTAGGAAAGTGCTTTATATGCAGGGAAAACTGGAGGATCTGACTGTATGGATCTGGGATTATGACCCAAAGCAATCATCCTGTCATGAAGGGTATGGCATGTCTGAAGAGTTATTTTCCTTTCAGTTTCAGAGAATCTCTCTGAAGTAAAGGAGATAATAAATTGCAAATAAACTGAGCTTAGGTTAAGAAATTAATTTCAACGGAACTGTGTTCTTGTGTGGTTGAGATATAAAAAAAATTATATATGTATATTTTTTTTTTTCTTTGAAAGAAGTCACATCGAGGAAATTTCCAGGAAAGGCATGCTGTGCTGTAGGACTTCTGAGGAGGTCTTTGTATGCAAAATTTGTAAATAATGATGTTTGAATATTCTTTTTACTGACACTTTATTTTTTTTATTTTACTCTCAGCTCTTGGAAAAGGCCCCATTTCCTTTCCTATTACTGTCTTGTTTCTATTGGCAAAATGAATGTAAGAAATTTAAAATGCTAGAAGGAAAAATGGATATCTTCAGCAAATACATTTTAAAGAAAAAGCTGAAACTAAATATTTGTTAAAATGCCTCTTAATGTGATTTGTGGGTAGATGGGTTATAGTGTATTGTTTAGGTTCATTTAAAAATCTCATTCAGATCGGCCTTTTTTAATACGGACAAAGAAAAGGAACGGTCAGAAATCTTGGCTTTAAATGGAGATCATAATGCTGATTATGCAAAATTAAATTTATTAACTTTTGTGACTTGTGGCTGCTTATAGATCTTCACATAGTTTTTTTCATTTAAAGGAAAAAAATAGATAAGATTCTGCATAATGCTTTTGAAATACCTCTATTAAAAATGTCAGTCGTACTGTAGCTCTGAGAGTTGTTTTCTCAGCAGTCTATCATGGCAGATCATTTTAAACGAAAATGTTTACTAGATTTTTTTTTTCCACTGATTATCAACATTTTGTGAACATAAAGCATTTAAGCCAAAAATCTTGGAAGCTTTCTCCATTTTCTCTAAAATAAATAAATAATTTTATGAGTTTTAAAAAAAAAAAAATCTCCCAAATGTTTTACATTTTAATTAAAATGGACATTTCCAAGTTGAAGGCTTGAAGAAGTTACCTTGCTAAAAATAGTAATATTAAATAAACTAAAATAAACAAAAATTGCTGATTAATTGATAAATAAATTTTTATTTATAAAATGTATATAGTAAGTACATAAATACAACAAGAACAAAAAATAAGTAGCTAAATAAACAGATAACAAAGTGGTGAAAAATTAAATAAAGCTGTTATAGTGCTAGCACTGTTGTTAGTGTCTTGAGTTTTTACGAAACCTATTTTCAGCTTCCTTTACTGATAAACCTCAACAGAAGAATTTTATTGGTATGTCAGCCATTGCTCTAAAATGTTGAAGATTAAGTCTCCTCCGTTGCATTAATGTGTTAGACTGTATCACCACAAACATTAATAATAATAAAAAACTGCTGCTAGCTAGAATATGAGAGACGTATATGGAATTTAAAGCATTTCTTCTTTGCTACATGATAGATAGTACTGATTCAGACTGGTGAAGAAAATGAGTGTTCTTTCCGTTCAGCCTGACTTTTTAATATATATGTTCAAGCATTTTGAAATTGATGAGCACTTCTTCCACAAGGTATTTAGTAAATCGATTTTCAAGGTTGAATTTGTGGGTGAGCAAGCACTGTCTGGATCTGTCTTTCACCTACTTATTCCTAAATAATGAAAGACTAAAATGCCTTTGTTCTGAAAATGCATCATTCCAGAGAATGAGAAGTAGGCAGCATTCCTGTCCAATTATAAAAAAAAAAAAAAAAAAAAAAAGGAAAAAAAACTTCTCTTCATGAAAATTTACTGTAAAAATGTCCTTTTTTTCCCAAAGGGTATACAAGGGACACTTCATTTCTTGCAATGGTGGTGGATATTATCCAGGAGTTGAAGCAGCAGAACTCTCACCTGGTATATGGTAAGGATGTGAATTATAATCTTTTCTCCTTTATCATCCTATATGCCCATTGTTTTCACTGTTCAGGATGAAAACGCTATTCTGACATTATCGAGCATTTCTGATCTGGCAGGCTTCAGCTGAGAATGCAGTGAAATTTCAGTTCAGCATTGCTTAAGTATTGAGGGAGTTGTTTTTCTTTTTTTTTTTTTTTTTTTTTAGTCTTTTTGATTTTATGCCTTTCAGTATGTTTCTTGCATTATGCCAGCCAAAGGAGAATGTGCCTTAAGGAGTGATTGTCTGTATCAAAGAAAGTCCTGTGAAATCCCAGCTGGCTACTGCTGTTTGTAGTTCAGTGACATAGGCTGGAAGCGCTGATAATTGAATCCTTTTTGATTTCCAAGTCAGGCAAAAGCAGAATAGGCTCTTCTGTATTGCCCTGCCATGGTTTCTTGTTACATCCCAGAAGTAGCATGCTGCTGTGCCTTATACGCTTGGAAATTTAGCTTAAACTCAAAGACTTTTTCTTAATTCTGATCCTCTGTGCTGTGATTACCCAGAAATGCTCAAAGAGCAACAAACTGTAAGAAAGGTATCACTAGTATGTCATGTCAGGCTTAAACTGTGAGAAAAGATTGCCATCTTTTATTCCTGACTCTTAGTGTTTCAGGACTTTTCAACGTTACCAGCGTAGACTTGAATTGGGCAAAACTTGGAGAATGACAGAGCAAAGTTGATGAGAATTTACAGTGCATAGAGAGCTGTGAATGGTGGTTTGAGCCTCTCGTGTTCAGGCTTTGTCAAACCATGCGGTCAGGAAACGACTGGAATGGCTCACAGGAATTGCTAGGTTTAATACTGCGTATTGTGAGATTGGATTTACTGGCCATTAATAAAGTACAGTTCTCATTTTGAAAGCGTAATAGAGATATCTTCATGAGCTTGATTTTTGTTGTTTGTTAACCTTTATCAAAACCGTTGTGTTCTCAGCTTCTCCAGAGCCTTGTGCGAATAAGTGAAAGCTATAAACTGTATTATGTGTGAACAGAAGCATCTAATTGCATAGAACAGGAAGGAGGTAGTTAGATAGTGAGAACGGAACTGGGCTTGTTAAGATTCTTTATATTTTAAAAAAACAGATTACATTGCATGGCAAATGCTTTTAAAAAGTAAAAATGAATGATGCTCTTGTAACTCGTGGAAGCTTTCCTGAACGCTGACTGGACATTGAGTAGATACCTTGCAGTTTTTTCTTTCATTTTTTTATCTGGCTGAAAACTCTCTTAATACAGTGAACAGTACTCCTTGTTTAATACAAGGCTTGGATGTTTCCAGTCTTACTTTGAAATTGAGGCCACTAAGAATATGCTGTTAATGTTTTTTATGATTCTGAACCTGTGCCAAATGTGTGTTAACATTATTGTGACAAGTATGAGCTTATGCAGTTTGGCGAGGATTTTCTTCTTGTTTCATAATAATACATGCAATTTTGTTCTTTCACAAATACTAGCTTCTCCCATATTTCTTTCCCACCATAGTAATATTCCAGAGTTTTGGGGTGGGGAATGAAAGGGAAAGCTCTCTGCTCTTTTCACAACAAAAGCCCCTTCACTCACAGCAGTCAGACATAACAGCGTGGAAGGAGAGGGTGAGTGCCACCTTCTGACACCTGTTTTAAGACCCTTGCCCTACTCTTTCAGGATTGCCAGCCACCAGTTACAAATCTCTGGTTGAGTATGCTGCAAGAGCTGTGTGAGCGTGTAAGCTATCAAAGGACAATGCTGTAACAGGGCCACTACTGTTACTTAAAACTTTTACTCCCCCCAGGGTCTCTATGATTGTCCCCCATTTCTAAAGCTAGATTTACTCTCTGTTACAGTATGCGATCCAGTGATGGGTGACAAATGGAGTGGAGAAGGTTCTATGGTTAGTACTTACCTACTTGGGTTCTGTATACAGTGCCTATAGGGATGTATAAAGTTTTATTAATTTTTAAATACCAAAACTAAGCTGCTTTACCTAGATGTGGCTTTGGATCCCCTCATCACTGTTTTACTGTGGTATCTTGTACCTGAATGAACCCTGGGACTTGCATTTAACCCTCTGCTGAGACAACAGGTAGAATACAGACCTTGACAGCAGGAAAATATCCCCCTGCTCCCCGCTCCACTGCTCCACTGGAGTTTTCTCATCTTCTGACAAGAGAGCTGTTTTGGCTAGTAGCCTTGCTCGCATTGTCAGTGAGCATGTGAATTGACATACCACTTGAACCTAAATTAGGATGAGTTATTTCGTGTGAGATCCAACAGCTGTTAGGCATTGGGCTAACAGACAGAAAGACTGTGTGTGCCAAGACCAGATTGCATATTGACAAAGAAGCATTCGTTTTTAATCAAAACTAGCCAATATTTTTAATGGAAAAAATGCAGTGTGGGAAGACACCAGCAATAATGATATTTTATGTTTTCTTCTGCCTTAGCTAGTCATGCTCTATGCATTACTCTTTGTCCTTGTACCTTTTCATAGTTTACCTGCTCGTAACACATCACATTAACCAGCACTTAGTAATAAATTTGTCGTTGCTCTTGTGTTCTCATTCATTCAGTTTACATCTAGTGCAATATTTGTTGTCCTTGGCTTTTCCTAACAAGGCAAAGATCTAGCAGGTGCAGAGTCACGTTGCAAAGCCTTAGCTTTTAGGAGAAGTCATAACCATAGGCTTACACCGTGGCTGTAGCATGGAAGGCAAGATAGATGGAAGAAGAGGAAAAATTTTTACCACGCAGCCCACCAATTCATGTCTACTGTTTAAAAAAAGGTTACAAAAACATCTTGACTTTAGATGTGAATGTGTCTTGCATTTCTGTCTAAAGGCAGGGTCCCTGTGACATCATCGCTTCACCTTGACTGCATGGCTGAGCTCAGTATCAGTAGGATGGGTGTTTTAGTAGCACCTTGCAGTCAGCACTGTGGTGGGGTTATATTCGTTGCTGATGTAATTGCAATGGGAGGCAGTAACACACTTCCTTGTTTACTTGTGGACACATGTACCTTGTTGTAAGTAGCTTGTGAGCCTAACAGAGAGAATAAAGAAAGCAGAGATGAAAGGGAGTATTAATTATGGTTTAGCAGATAGGGTGCTACTGAAGAATATCAGCTACTAGTAAGCAATGGACTTTCATAAAGGGTTTTGTTAAATTGAATTACAGCAAGACTGAAGAGGATGAGATGACTCCTCTACCTACCTAACTGGAACTCCCGAGTGAGCTGCAGTATGTGCCAAAACAGCTGATACTTGCCATTATACTTTTAAACTTTATTTGAATCCAAAGAACATACAGGCTGGTAGGCTCCTGCTACATCTTAATGTATGTCACCTGCTTAGACTGTCAGTCTGCCTTTGTTAATGAGCTATAGATAGCTAAAGAAGATGGGATAGAGTTAGGATAGGAAAGGAGAAGGGGGAGTGTTGGCCCTCGTTACTTGAAGAGCTGATTCTGCAGTCAGTGAAGTGTGTTAGCGGTCTGCAGTCAGTGAAGTGTATTAGTGGTTCGTTAGACTTGTGTACAACATGAGCAAAATATTTTAAATATACTTATCATAACTGCTTTACAGAATAAATTGTACTGAATAAATTACAAATGTGATTCCTTCTCACACATAGGAATGTACAGCACATCTAGAAATACTGTACTGAAAGGAGACAAAAAATACATGGGGTGAATGTTACTTGTTCCTGAATCACAGTCTGCAACACAATTAATGTGGGTGCACACAGAGGCACAGAAGGGCCTCCATACTGTCAGTGTAGCAACAAAGTAGTTTCCTCTGGAGGTAAGGACGTGAAAAAGTGTTCCCCATGTGGGTACTGTATTTCCTCATCATACTGCTGTCACCTTGCTAATGGGGAACCCAAAAATTCTTCATCCAGGCACCACTTTCATTTAATGCTACCAGTTCGCACTCAGTTGCATAGTGATGTTTCCCTTTGCCTCCAGTGAAAAAGAGGTTGTTGGCAGTACTATCATCAGACAGAGAGTGCACTGACATTGTAATTTCTGCTAAATATCGATATACCAGGAGCTTTAAAGTTACTAAGTGACAGTATGAATGGCAGTTCAGGGAAGGAAAGTTACACCTCTACATTTGATGTGGCTGCTGACATTTGATTCCGTTTCTTCTCCCCTCCTAGTATGTGCCCAAGGATCTTCTCCCCGTCTACAGGGACAAAGTTGTTCCTGTTGCTGATATAATTACTCCTAATCAGTTTGAGGCTGAGTAAGTACTCATTTCCATTTTTATATCCAAATAAACCTAGGGATGAAAGCAGGGGAGACTGACCCTTTTTTTTTTTTTTTAATTCATCTCGGTATGATACCATATCCATGTATGTGTTGGGCTTTGATTTTTAGCTGTTGCTTCTAAGTAGTACTCTTCAACAAACCACACTGTTCCATACTGAAAACAACATTAAAAACCTGGGGATTATTTGAGGAATATAATTCTCTTGTTTTCTCCTATTTTCATGATTACTTTTCATTGTCTCCAGAGGTCTGTCTCTAGGGCTGGTTGAAAAAACACCTCTTTCCTACCTCATTCTTAACCATTCCCGGGAAAATGTGTATTATTTTTCAGCATAATGAAACTGCAATAGTTTGACTCATTTCTCTTCCCCTGCCCGCCCCCATCCTTGTGTCTAGCTTACATGCCTCATGCCATCCTGTCTCCATAGCTGAGACTCTATGTTCAGGAGCTAGCCTAATACAATACATCACAGGCTGTCCCCCTAAAAGGAGGGGTACCAGCAGCCACATGGGAGATGGAGAGGATACTTATGAAATAATGTTAGTATAACAGAGATCTCGACAGTAAACAGGTTAGGACTGGTATAAATCTATGTGAGAAGCACTGTATATCTGTGCACGTAACTTTTAAAGGCAGTAGTCTGATACAACAAACTACTTCAGTGCTAAGCAATTTGTTAGCTACATGTATTGTGCAGTCCAAACTTTCATCCTTTCAAAGCGTGAACAAAGCAGTGATTGCCCGGAGCGTTTGTGCTCTTTTAAAACTTGTGTTTTATTCTCAGGTTACTCACTGGTAGAAAGATTCACACAGAAGAAGAAGCTTTAGAGGTAAGTGGGTGAGGGATGTAGGCAGAAAAACAGACAAAGATCTTGCACAATGCTTCAGTTTGCCATTTGTGTTTAACCTTGAAATCACCTTAGCCACTATCCTTTCTCTTCATTCATTATTAAAGCTTGTGCACTCCATGCCCAAAATACTTTTTGTTCTAGTGCCAGACTTCTGAAGAAACTTCCTGAAGGAGCTACAAACGAAGGCATTGTAGTGATAATGATGAGTAAGATTACTGTGAGTTTGTCTTCCTGAAGTGTAAGAAGGGAAGCAGCAGCACACATAGCAAGTGCGAGCCATGTGGAAATGCACTGGTTGTGGTGAAAACCCCTGCTGACGTTCTTCAGAAAGTGACGCCTGGCAACAGAAACGTGTACAAGTAGCTCCCTCTGCTGCCCCCATGGGACTCATGCGGCTGTAACACTGTGTCTGTTAGGACGGCCTGACATTCTCATTTTCCCAAAGGGTCTGCCTGCAAAGCAGAGAGCTTGCAATTAAGCTCGCACAAGAATTGAATAGACTCTGAATCCTCTTCCTAGACTTTGCTGATGTTTTATTTTCTTAAATTAACTCAGAGGGGATGAGACCTAGGTTGCAAAAAGAGTGCATGAACAAGAAACCAGGCTGGGAGCGATTGGCTTTCAGGTGCTTCTTGGTGAAAGGCAGACAGATCCACACTGGCAGTACTGACAGCTGCTGTCATCACCATACAAAGATGATGGGTAGACCGCAAATATACTATGCTGAGGTGTAAGGATTTACTCTTCTACACAAACTGAAGAATCCTAAAAAGCTGCAGAGCCTGGTGATGAAGGACAAAATAGAAATGTGGTTTTATGGATATTTTAAGAAAGCTGAACTCTTTGTTTCGATGACTGCGGTCAAGTGCTTTCGTAATGGACTAACATGATTTCTTCCTGTTTGCTTTTGAACTCCAAAGGATCACAAAATCTTTAGACAAATAGCAGCTGCAGTGGCACCCAGGAGAGTAGCTGGGCTCTGTCCATCCTAGTGTTTGTTATTTTTTCCTCCAGCAAAGCCATGTGAACATCTTTTCATAGCAAAAAGCGGCTCCTAAGATCAGATCTTTTTTTTTCTTTCCTCCTCCTCCCTTCCCCCCCTCCCCCCCACCTTCCAGTTTTATGTTCCCACGCTGTGCTGGAGCAAGGAAAAAGCACTGTGCTTCATGCTACTGGCTGCAAAGTATAAGCCAGTTCTGCTATTCTTATCTTTACCAGTGGAACCACAAGCCAGAGTGCGACAGTCCTTCCACTGTTAGCTGAGTAGCCACTAGTTTTAGGTGTGCGTATTTCAGCTGCCTACACGAGCTGCATGTGCTAAACAATTTTACGAGTCAGTCATCTGCCAGTCTTCCTGACTCGTGCATGCAAGCTCTCATCAATGATGGGCTTTTTTTTAAAGCCTCTCTAAAACAAATGGTATCTTATTTAGGAATGGAAACGGTTTTAAAATAGTTGCTTGCAGGATATATGTATTTTCATATGTCCGTCTCTTCAGCTGCATGTCTTATATAGGTTTATCCTTCTGAGTAATAATCCATGCTGGAAATTGTCCCCTTTGGAATTGGTAGGAACTTTGCCATGGAGTTACATGCTGGTACACTTTGATTCATTGCGTTAGCAAGACTAATAATGACAGTATCATTGTCTGATGTAAAATTAAATATGGCCTAATATTAATGTAGAAGGGGCTGAACGCTGCAGCTAGAAATCCTAGTGATCCTTGGTGAATTGCCAATGAGGAATGAGACTGAGATTACTGTTTCTTCACAGAATGATTATGTAAGCACCTGCAGGTGGACTTACTGCTTCTTTTAAAAATCCAACCCAGTGTCTGTGCAAAGAGGTCTGACAGCTGAAGAAACTTTGAGGCTTAAACAAGAGAGAAATGCAATAGAGAATTAGAAATGGCAGAAATAAATCCTTATCATTCAGCTACTCATGAGTTATAGCTAGGCAAAGAGGATTTTTAATTAAACTCTTCTGTGAGAATTAATATTTTATCTGTATCTTATGCTAAACCCATTATTAAAGTTATCCTTTCTTCTGTGAAATGAAAATCACTTTTGTAGCAACCAGTTGTGATGTCAGAAGCAGAATATTAATGGTTTCAGGTGAGGAACATGCAGAGAGGAAATAAACCTACAAACATATGTAATTTACAGATGTAAATGTGAGTTTTGAAACAGAATGAGAAGGAAGGATTGAGACAGACATACTCATGCCTCTGATTTGAGCTCTTTCTAATTCTTTAAAAAGTGACCATATAAGAATTTGTGACCTGGATTTATTTTCTCTCTAGCAATTGTTTCGAGATGCCAGCTCAGGTGCATATATTTGTGTATTTGTTCTCTACTTGCTAATATTTTCTGAAAACGTGGTGCAGACAAAAATTCTGATCACAGCTGAAGTTGGAGTATTCTTTCCAGAGAAGCAACCAAAGATAGTGCAAATAGAGATGCTTGTAGACTTTAAAAAGCATATACATTTAAACACTAATGTTTTGATTCTCATATTTCAAGCAAATTCCTCTAATTCAGGTGAATCCTTTGAGTAGGAATTGTTCTTTCTCTTTACAAAAGACTCCACAATTAGATGTTTGTCAAAAATCCTCAGTATTAAGAATGATTCGAGACTTCATTAACATGTATTGCAATCACTGATTCCTGCCCTTTTGCACGTGGAAAGGTAATGGATATGCTCCATGCCATGGGACCAGAGACTGTGGTGATCACAAGCTCAGATCTACAGGCTCCTTTAGGAAATGACTACCTAATTGCACTGGGAAGCCACAGGAAAAGTAAGTCATGAACTCCTTCATTGAAATGCCCTTTTTTTTTTTTTTTTTTTTCCCCCTAAAAGTTTTCTGTGCTTTCAGTCACTTTAAGGAGCAACGGCTTCATCAGACCCATCTGTAGTGCATGGAAGTAGCTCATCTAAGTGAACTTCTTCTGCAGTAGTGTCAGGGAGCAGGGAAGGGGAGCTGGGAGTCGAGGGTGACCACAGCACAGGCAGAGTACTCCCCTCACTGACAAGGTGCAGGCCCACAGATCTGAACAGGGTGAGCAGAGCAGGGGTAGTGATGACAAACAGGTCCCACTGACAGTCCACTGATCATCAAAGAAAGATGAGACAAGTCAGGTCTGAGGTCAAGCTGGGAAATCCAGTCAACAAGACCAGACAGCAGGGCTGCGTGCAGCTACACCTACAACATAGCTCAGGCAAGGATTGCTGGGCCAGAGCTTCCATGCAGCTCCTGGGCCAGTGGGCAGACAGTACGCGGGTGCAGGTCCCAGGTGAGGCTGGTCAGGGCTATTAAAGTGAGTGGCCCTGACAAGTAGTTGGGGTATAAAACAGAAAATTTGGATATTTTATAGGTTTGGATGCTTTTATGAGAAGTTATACTGTCCTGTTGACGGATTGTTCCCGCTCTGATGCGTTATGACATGTCCTTCTGCTTGTTCCTTATATTCCCTTCCATATTGTCACCAAGATTGACTGTGTGTTTGGGCTGTTACAGATTGTTTTCATATCAGAAGGGCATATTTGTGTGGGATAGTAAATAATCTCACTTTCTTGTTTGCCTATGTGGTATAGGCAAACACTTGTATTACCTACGTGATATAAATCCGGGCATCGTGCTCTAGACTCTGAGAGAAATAAATGTGTTTAATATAGACTCTACTAAGAACCACTCAGTATTTCTTAACACTTAGTACACATCAGGTCTGAAATGAGTCCGATCAGTCCCATGGCACATGGATTAGATATTCTCTGCTGATGTCTACAGCTGCTCTTGTGCCTCCATACAACCTAGAGATATTATAGGTTCCGGTTTGGGAAGCCCCATCTAGGATTCAGCAGTCTGCATAAACATGTGGCTTCCAGAGTAAGCTGCCACTGATGCGTAGATGAAAAATAGGTAGACTGTGTCTCTCAGTCCTCTCTGAAGATGAAGGTGCCAGCTACCTGCTCCCTCTTAGTGTACAGTATGTAAGTTGTATATGCTATCCCAGCTAGGCAAAGTTTCCGAAGGTTTCACATTTAAAAGAACTGGAACAATCTTTACAGTTCTCCTTAGGATCTTTAAGTTCCAAATAGCATAGGCTTTTGAGTGTGGTGATCACTTTTAAACGTTGGTAAATGTTATTGTATTAATTGCTGGATGTGTTACTTAACTGTCTGTCTATGTTGTAGCTAAAGCAGATGGTACCAAGATGACACAAAGAATTCGAGTGGAATCTCCTAAAGTGGATGCTGCCTTTGTTGGAACAGGAGACTTATTTGCTGCTATGCTTTTGGCGTGGACACATAAGCATCCAAACAATCTGAAGGTGTGGGAGAGGTTATTTGTCTGTCTGCGAATCTGGACTACAATATTTCTTTTTTGTTATTTTTATTCTGTAACATTATTTAAAGACTCTTCTGGTTTTGTTTTTTTTTTTTTTCTTTCTCCTCACCATAAGGAGGGGAAAAAAAGCAGAATTTTCCTTCTTGCCGCAACATTTTAGATTGTATAAGCTTGGGTGACCGCATTTCAGTTAAAGCTGATGTGGTCTTTTTCTCTAGTCTGTAAGCATACTTTGTAATTTTGCGAAATAAGACATTCTTTTCTCTCTCTGTAGTGAGATACTGCATGTGTTTTGTTCCTAGCATCTGTTTTGGGAGAATTAAGAGATTCTAAAACTTTTTCTTTCCCAAACTCTGTTACGTTTTGTCTTTATTGGTTTGAAGAGAATAACTCATTAACTCTCTTTACTCTTCTGATCAGTCATGCTGGCCACTTAATATTATTATTTCAAAAGCACTGCTACTAAACTGGGCTACTGAAGCGTCATTAAAATCTAAATGAATTCTGTTAATGTGCAGGTGGCATGTGAAAAGACTGTATCAGCCATGCAACATGTTCTGCAAAGGACCATTAAGAGTGCAAAAGGTAACTCATTCAAACCTTGTTCCCAGATTTCCTCTGTCTGGATTTGTGTCAAAAGAAACATTTAGAGAGCTTTCTGTTTCCTAACTAAAGGTACTCCTCGCTGTGGAGGCAGCCAGGGAGAATTTTAAGAGAATTTACAAAATGAAAGCTAGGTAATCTATCAGTGGTGTTCCTTACTGTGTCCTCCAGTCCTATTCTTGACAACACCAGACAGAAGATGTCACTGTTCAACTTATACTTGGACTACAGTGGTGGTGAGACTTAACTGCTCTTTGAAGCAGTGGTAGAAGAACTTGAGGAAATGCTGTTTGACTGCAAAAGAGCCTATATTTTCAGTATAGCTTGCTCACTTGCCCTTTTAGTACCTGTGTATAGAGTTGAGAGTGGTTTATCAACTGGTAATAAACGGTAGGTCTATTTGTTGTGTAGGCTATGGAAGAAGTGTGTGTGTGTGTGTGTGTGTTTTTTTTTTTTTTCCCTAGCCCCTCTTCCCTTTGATTTGCCATGTTCTGTCAACTCCCAAGGAGATTCAGAAGGGAACTGTTTGCTCTTGGAGCATCTGTTTATCACTTTGTAATTGACAGCAGAGCTGTATTATTTTCCTGGAGAGAGATGCTAGGCAGGGATGTTGGCAGTTACAATGCTGACCTGTATCTTCCATCTTGAAGCCTTACACAGTAGTAAGGCAGGTGGGGAAAAGAAGAAAAAAAAAAAAAAAAAAAGGATAGGCTAACAGAACAGTGTAACTTGTTTACGTTTGTACTGCTGTTTTTACTGATGTTCTGATATCATCTTTTTAGCACAAGCTGGAGAAGGAAACAAACCAAACTCAGCCCAGCTGGAATTGAGAATGGTCCAAAGCAGAAAGGACATAGAAAACCCAGACATCATAGTGAAAGCTACTGTGTTATAAAGGCTTTATGTCTCTACTAACGCACAATGTATTGATGTCCTCCTTTCTTTCCTGTAAATTGTAATATTTGCCTTAGATCTGTGACAGAAACCTGACTTTCATGAAATAGTGCCCAGCATAGGCAGATATCCACACTCAAACATATGTGCTGGCCTTGTTCAGTTTTAAAAACAAAACAGAGTTAATGTGCATTAATGCATATTCCCAGGTATCAAAATGGCTGTCAAATTCACCTAGTCTGTGTATTACCCTGGGCAAGGGAATATAATGTTCCTGCCTTGCCAAAGACTTGAGATGTGAATTTGCTAATGGAATGCTTGACTGACTGGAGAATATATTTCGAGATGACATCTAATGCCAGTGGAGCTGGTTATGTGCTTCTGTTTCCTGGAGATACCTGGTTACTTATTCTGGTATTCAGTATCTCGGCTGCTATGAAACTAAGCAGGGTTAAAACTGCACACAAACTTCTGGTTGTGTGTAAAGGAGTACTTTGAAGATGCATAGCATTTAAGTACTCTGAAGTGACCTTGAGGTGTCATTCATGTTACTGATAACTGCTCCTGTTTCTTGTTTATGAACAGTTATAATAATTTCAGTTTTTATAGGTACTGGCTGCTTATTTTTAACGTCCACAGGTACCCACATCACCTTCTCCTGAAAATCTGCTCCAGAAGCTTCTTTATGAATAAGGTAGAAGACTGTAGTTGTACCTCTGAGGCCAGGTTTGGTTCTTTTGTTTAGTTTTTAAGTAAAGACAAATGTTCTTTAAGGAGAAAAGCTAAAGCAGCTCCTGCTCTGAAAGCTGACCATCCTAGATTGCTCTCCATGAGTGGATGTACTTACAAACTGTATAGGACACTTCCACTTAGCAATAGTGAGTGCTGTTGGTGGGCTCATCCGTGCAGCAACCTGTGGTGAAAGTAATGTGCGTGCTTGAGTAAGTTAACGTACATTTACTAAATGCAACAAAACATCCAGAATTTGTTTGTCCGTAACGTAATTCTCTGCAAACCTCGCTGACTGGAGTTTACAGAAGTGCATTATTACTCATCTTCAAACAAATTTTTATTTCCAAATTCTGCTTCATAAGGCTTTAAGATGGGATTCTTATTAATTTCGGTGTGCTGTATATCACAGCCAAACATTATACCAGTAGATAGTAGATACGCTGACACATGCTGACCCCTTGTATTTCCTGTTGACTTCAGTATGGCACTGAAGTTCTTGCTTCTCCCAGGATGAGAGCTAGTGTGTTGTCAAACCCAAATTCAGTTGCTGAGCTTTATTTGTCTTTGATGGCATAGGAAGATAAAAAAGTGCATGTGTGCTTACAATTGCCTGAAGGAAAATTGCATTAGAAGAGAGGGCAGCTCCGTTTTTTTCCTGATTACTTGAGTATGCTCAGGAAACTTGCTCTCCCAGATGCCTTTCTTGCATCTTGCTCGCCACGCCTGCCTAACTGATAGGCAGTGTCACTTGCATAGCTTGGAGTCCCCAGGAGAACTGGACTGGAGACCGCTTGGGGTGCTGTAGCCTTCACTCATCCTATGATTTTGTGGATTCTCTGCCATTGTAAAAGTTCATTGGTTTCACTTAATAGAAGAGCAATTTATCCTTTCGGTTAATTTTTTTTGGCTAAGCAGATTTTTTTAATAGAGTAAGATTTCCTAATTAATACACTTCCGAAACCCTGATTTTCAGTGTCTCTGAAGCAAATGACATTTAAGAGGTGAGCACATTTTGCAGTAAATGTAAGAGACAAACTTTCAGCTTTCACTCTCGGTAACTAGTAATACTTTTACTGCCCTCTTGCAATAGAATGCCATTGCGCATTAAAATGAGAAAAATTCTTTTGACTTGAGAATTTTAAGGAAAAAAAAAAAAAAAGAAAACTTGACTCTACTGCCACAGTTCATAGTAACCACTGCCATAAAATACCTTTCTAGCAATAATGATTTTGGTGATGTGAAGAGCAATTAGCAATCACTAGAAGAGATGAGTTTGTGGCTGATGTCCAGTGTATAAAAAGAGGTGAAGTATCTTATCAATGTGTATAAATATCTGATAAGAGCAAGTAAAGAAGATGGAGCCAGACTTCTCAGTGGTGCCCTGTGAAAGGACAAGAGGCAATGGGTACAAACTGAAACACAGGAAGTTCCCTTTAAACATAAGGAAAAACTTTTTTTACTGTAGGGGTGATTGAACACCGGAACAGATTTTCCGGAAAGGTGGTGGAGTCTCCATCCTTGGACACATTCAAAACCTGACTGGACACAGTCCTGGGCAGCCTGCTATAGCTGACCCTGCTTGAGCAGGGGGCTTGGACTAGACGATTTCCAGAGGTCCCTTCCAACCCCAACTATTCTGTGATTTTTATGAGGTACAAATCACTTGCCTTTTTTCTCCGCGTTACATTTTTAAATTAATGCAGACTTTTTTTCCTTCCTGAGACACAGGCTTCCAGATAGGCTAAGAAATAGCTCTGTATTAATAAATTGCCATATTTTTTTAGATAAGCTTATTTTTGCTAGGGCAGTTGCACAGGGAGCACAGTTGCCTTTTTTGAGATAGTTGCTTTCAGCAACAGTATTTAAAAGCTGCAGCTGGAGATGCATTTCAACAGTTGAGCGCAAAAGCATTTTAACTATTTCTAGCATGGATTACATAAGTGTTATACACCATATTCCGAACATAAACTGACTCACTTATAGTTATTTTTTTAAAATGTAGACCATTTCACATTGAAATATATAATCCCCATCATCCATTTGGGAAGAGGGGATGAACAGACTGAACTTCCTTGGCTCTGTGTGCCATGGTTCTTTAACTGACTTTGCAGCATTAAGCTTGACTCCCTAGCCCAGACATAACCAGCTTTTTGGCTCCTGTGGGTCACGTACCAAAATCTTCAGATGGCCAAACTCTGAGACCTCCACCACGTCCCTCAGGTTGCTAAGAGGTAGATGAGCCCTAGGAGCAGTTCACAGGCAGGAAATGACTTAAAGTTACCTTACAACCAAGGTTTGGCAAGTGCAGTCAACCTTAATATTGCCATGAAACAGCGTGTGAGATGTTTGCTGGGGCAACTTATATCTGTCAGGTGTCAGTCACCTCTTCCCGTTGCTTCAAAGAAGGAAGGATCACTCCAAGTAATTCACACCTTCTTGGAATGTGTGACCTGGCCATACACTGAC